GGGTGGGCCCCGTGGGAGGTCATGAGCGATCGCCTGCTGGTGCATACCCAAGGGCGAACGTCCAGCTGGGAAAACAAGATCGCACTGGAATACAAGAACCTGTGGTGGGTGTCACGCTGCGGGACGCGGTGGCAGTGCGCTGGCTCCGGGCCTCCTCCGACAAGTGGCACGGCGAGGACCCGCCTCGTCACGTCGCGCCGCTCCAGGAAGAGATCGACAAGTACCGGCAGGGGTACGAGATCGAGCGCATCGTCGACGTCCGCGAGTCCGGAGCGCCGAACGAGCTGGAATACCTCGTGCAATGGAAGGGCTTCCCCCTACTGGGGGATACGGACAGGTGGGAACCCGAGCACAGGCTGGCGGAGGGGCTCTCGCCTGGCGAGGCCACACACCTGCGAGACAGCCTTGAACAGGCGCGCACGAGAAAGAGGGAGGACGGGCAGCCGAGTGTCATGCCCCACGGGGCGCTAGCCGAGCTCAGGGCCCACTTCGGAGTGCAGGGGTGGTCGGACCTCCGAGGAGGAGACATCCGTGCGCAGGAGGAGCAGCTCGTGCAAGTAGCGCTGATCCTAGAGCGGAGGGCGGCGAAGGGCTGCGTTCCCGCGCGAGCTCGCAGGGCAGCTGGAGACGCTCAGGGGCGGGAAGTATGCTGCCGCCGCAAAGAGGAGGCTGGTCCCGGCCCCGATCGGGAAGACCCTATATGGGGGGCACCTGCCCGTCGCGACAGAGGAAGGGGCGTGTGCTTCTGCGCCAGCAGCAGTCACGCCGCTCGACCCCAGGGAGCGGATGTGGTTGGAACAGACGGACTCGTCCCCGCACACTCCCGCGAAACGCGAGGTTGATGACGATGACCGGGAGGGGCACGACGACGATGCCGGTACCGAACATCCTCCGGGGAGCGACTGCGACGAGCCAAGCGTGGACAATGGGATGGGAGGAAGGAGATGGCCCATTGAGGACGACAAACGAATCCCGTCGCTCGGCACGCCTGAGCCAAAGGAGGACCGGCGGCTGCGGCGAGAGGCGCAGCGGGGACTGACAGTAGGGACCCCGCCGGACCACTGGACTGAGGCAGCGCGCCGGGCCAGAGCTTGCGTGTGGCCGGGGGATCCGGGCGCCGGGCCGGTGTGGGAGACAGAGGCCAAGCGAGCGCCGAGGCTGGCGAGGCGCGGCACCGGCAGCTCCTGCGCGAGATCGAGTGCGAGGCGGCCCGGCAGGAGGCGGCAGAGGCGAGCCAGCTCGCGCCCTCCCATCCGGCGTGACCACTTCCTGGCTCACCAATTGTGCCGACTCTCGACAAGGCGCGGCAGCTTCGAGGCTACGCGGCGGCGGCGGACGCGGCCCTGCGCGACGCGGAGAGGCGCGAGGCGGCAGCCTGCCTCGACGCATCGCAGAGTGCGACGCTCATGCAGAGGCAAGTCCGCCTCCTGGCAGAGACGCTCGAGAATGCATACCGAAGGCACCTGCGGGAGGCCCAGGAGTCTGCGCTCGTCGCGGCGCGCGAGGAGGTCGGCGCGCCCTCCCAGCGGAGTGCCCGGGGGGAGGAGGCAAGAACCACCAAGGTCCTTGAGGTGGCCTCGCGCGTCTTGCCCGAGCTGCGACGCGCTCGTGCGGAGCTCGACATGGCGCTCTCCGCGCAGAGGAGGCTCGCCGCCAAGGCGGCGCGGACCGAAAAGCGCGCAGCCGAGGCTCAAGCGGCCGCCGCCGCGGCTGTCGAGGCAGCGACCGCGAAGTGTGAGGACGCCGAGGCGGACGTTGCGGCGATGAGGCTGCAGGTGGAGGCTGCACAGGCGGAAGTTGCTCGCTTGCACGAGCGGCAGGAGCACTCGCTGCCGCCGCCACCGAGAACATGCGCGGCGCCAGGAGAGGCCGAGGCAACCCGCCGCCGCTCGCGCGATGGTGGCATCCACCCCACGTCTACCGTGCGGCAAGGGGGCTCGTGCCCGGGCGAGGCTGCGTCGCTCTCACACCTCGCCGAAAGGCTTGGCGGCAACTTCAATGAGATTTGGCGCGCGCCTCCGCCCAGCCAAGGGCAAGGCGACGACCTGCTGATGCGGAGCTGGTCCCAGCCGGCGCTCCCGACTCGGCCGTCCTCTTCCTCGACGCTGGTGTCTCCCCTAGCCGGCAGCCCAACGGCGTCGTGGCGGGCCGAACGACAGGGCAGCGCCGCGCCGCCATGGAGCCAGGGCCGCGACCGAGCGAAAGCTCGGCCGAGCACAACAGCTGGGACAGGGCGTGCTCTCACAGAGCTGGACCGACCAAAGTCCAGAGGCCCTGGTTTTGCGGCACGGCCTGCCACCGCATCCCACGCAGCGTGCAGGGAGCGCCGACTGCGTTCGAGCGCGAGCGGCTCGCTGCAGCACTGGCCCTCCACCCCGAGCCTCCAAAACCCTGTCCGAGGAGGCGGTTGGAAGATGACAACGAGCCGAGGTGCGACCGAACGATTCTTTGTGCCGCAGAGCCCAGCGCTGCTGCTGGGTCGCACTGTGATCGGGGCTGGCACGTGGCCAGCGTTGGCTGAAGCGTGGAGGTAATGCAAAGGGTAAGGTAGGTAAGAAACACCATGTATGTGTTGACCCTCGAGTGTGCGCCGGTGTGTAATACCATCATCTACGCCAGCGTTCCCGTCCCCCAGCGGCCCTCCGCCCTCGCGCCTCGGGGCACACGGCAGTCGAAACTACTAGGCTACTGTAGGGTGCCCACAGGACCCAAAAGAAAATAGCTTTCCGACTCAAAAAGGGACGCACGAGGCAAATCTGATGTGTTGGAGTGTTCCAATAGGAGCGAGGCCTCCTCCGTAGTTGGGGGACCGAGTGACTAGGAAACGAGGGTTCCCCATTGTGTCCCCTTCGCATGCATGCGTGACACTGCACTTGGCGCCGAGCGCCCGCGGCTCAG